ATTTGTATAGAAAGTTTGAAGCGAGAATTTACTAATCGCATCAAATATACCTCAAGCCTTCGATTATTTAAATCAATTTTTGCAACCAGTTTTCGTGTTTGATTTATTATTGGAAGAATCCAAAAGTCTTTCAACGCTAATGACCTAAAAGTAACGTCAGATCACCCACGTGTTTCAGCAGGCCGTATAATGGTATAAGGATAATGAATCACTTCGACACCTCAGGAAAATATCTGAGTGATCGATAAGTGGAGACCGTGGTGAGAAAAACACAAAATATCAACGAAAGGGAACTAACTGATGGGTGCTTTTCCTCCAAAAAGTGTTTCAAATAACTTAAATCAGAGAATAAATATTTCATGTAGAGTACTGTTTCAGGTTCCATGATTCCTACAATACACATGAAGGGTATTCAGGAATCCGTGACACACCTTCCGCTGGTATATTTTGCCCTAGATCCATTACGTAAAAAGAGCTTCTGAGTCCGCTACTCGATTACTGGCAAACCAGAAGAGCTTACACTTCATGACAACTTGTTAGTTTTATACTTATGCTGATTTGCTGTAGTCCACGTATTTTTCTGTTCTGTGGGTCAAGTAACTCCTTCCACTTATCTGTTGACACGTCCAATAGCAACGTATCCCGTCTGAGTAAGAAACTTGAAAACGCTCCTTCACAAACTACCACCAATTTCTACATTACTACCACTAAACTTACGGTCAGGAAACCTCAAAGAATTTAAAGGAATCGATTACTAAAGTTAAGTCGTTACTGATACCTGTTCTCCAGATCTAAACACGTTTCATTATTACGCCACAGTCCTCTCCTTTCGTATAACATGTAAGACTAACGGGACTAGGATGTCACTCAGCTCCCCAACGCTCTGTCAGTATTTCGATCGCACAGGCTTCCAGTTAAAGAATCACTGAAAACAAGGGAGTACCGAACAGGTGTTTCGTCACAGTTTGGGACTACTCACAGTACGCATCCAAGTTTTTGAGCCCAATTACTAGGACATGGTCGAAACTCACATACGATCAGTGAGCGGCCTACCGATGTAGTAGAAAGAAGAGGAGTGCATGAGTAGCTCACATGGTTGAAACTTCAACAAGTTGAGCTACAACCAGATGCCAAAGAAAGACCGAATTTGCAAGCATCATGCAGGGAAAGAATTCACTCGAAAAAGTGTCAACTTACAAAGGGGTCAGTTCTAGGCAGGGTATCACTGATCAAACTGTCTTGCCGGCATTGCAATGAAAGGTTACTGACTAATGTAGCAGAAAATTGTTTGATCACGTTTACTGGATTAGTCTGTGTAGTGATGAAAGGTTAAACATCCTTAACATTAAGATAAGGAGGATGTGTAAGAGAATACACGATTCAATAGAAGAATCAGCTGTACAAGAGCCATCACTTTCGTACTTCCAGAGAACTACATGACATCGAACTACACTTTGAAGATTTTCCGTGTGTCAGAAAAGCAAATGCTTGACTCAAGAAAGATGCTGTGTTTACTGGACAGTGTACTTATTTGTTCAGGTTTGTTTATATTACCAGTAGAATCACTCCGGCCAGACCCTTTAAGCTAGAGTAAAATACAGTCCACCCTGCTGATTCCTTCGAAAACGAATTATCTTTCATTTATAATTTTGCCGGTGAAATTGGTCATGCTGGTATTTTTGTCAGAACAATACGAACAAGTTAAATGAAAATGTGAGGCGTTTGGAGATTTGTTATTATTGTTATTGTTCCCCTTGGGTTCCTAGTGGAACATAGGGCTTCAACTGCACGCCTCCACTTGCTTCTGTCTTATGCTGTACTTTTCACTTGCATCCATGTTAATCCATGCTGTTTCAGTTCCTCATCACACGATCTCCTCCATGTTACCCTTGGACGTTCCACTCGCCGCCTATCTTTCGGGTTCCACTCGAAATGGATAAATGTAATTAATTGTTCGTTAATCTCTAATTTAAAGAGGACGCGGAGAGCGCAAATCGCGTCTGGAGATATGAAATGACTTATAATACCGCAGCCCTTTCCTTATTATTTTCTAGTCAATACTCACCATTTTCCTGAAGGGTAAGCTGCTTTACTGGATCACAGTCGTGCACATCTACAAATTCATCTGCCTCTGTGGAGTAAACAGCATGAAGAAGTAACTAAGCAATGTTCTGGAAACCAAATGAAGAAAAGAGGTTCAGTTTTGTCTCATTAGATTGACAGCGGCTTTGAAGTGGACGGAAAATATGCATACACAACTATTTGTAATATTCCGTATACACTTTTGAAAGGAATTCAGTCTCGTCTGCTATATGCAGTGAAGGCCATAAGAACTCAGGAGAGTCATATTGGACTATTTACTAACAGTATGTTTGATCTACTTTTGTCCCTTCCCCAGCCCCAGTAAATTCACTGAATAGTTTAGTTGTGGAGGTTTCTTGCTTTTTCTACTCGTCACAACCTTTCTATATTTATTAATAGTGTGATTACCTATCCGTTTTCATTTTGGCATAATGTGCATTTAATTCTATTACAATTGACTTAATATAACAAACGAAACTTTCGAATAACCATTCTATTCTCACCATTTATAGCGGTACTTGGAGCAGCCACTCGTGCTTCTACTGTTATAGGCGTTATCATTATTGTTATTGGCACCTGTTTAATTATCAGCACTAAATATTCACTTCTAGCCCATAAATTGCTATAAGGCTGAGGGAATTCCTTCACTCTTTATAACTTAAATAACTTAGAGATTTCCTCACGTAAGATTCATACATAAAGGCTAACTGGAAATGTGATGAACGTCAAGTCAAGCGCCCACTACACCATGATCATCCATGGTGTTCTAGAATTGAGTACCGGGAACCCACGACAGATATATGCCCGTGACACCCAGAAGTGACTAATGTTTCAGGATGACTGGTTTTGACAAGAGGAGTGGCCATTTTCAGGAACCCCCAAACCCACTTTTTCACTACGTGTGTATGAGCCAAATAGGCGAAATAATGCAAGCAGCAAGATGAAAACCAAGGGGGGAAGCAGAAGTAAGCCAAAAAATGGCCAAATTTGTTGATGCTTGAATTATTCTCTAAGTGATTTGACTCTAATGATCACCTCACGTCTCATGAGAACGGACAGATTCAACGATGAATGCACTTGAGAAAACTTGCGGGAACTAATTAGTCAATCACGGGTCATCGAATACTGCCTGAATATGAAGAGCGTCGTTCTAACAGGAGAAAAATTGATCTCTGCTGTTGCAAACAAAATAGTCTGTGGCGCACCTAGTGAAACGACATAAACCAGACCATTTTAATTTCACCACACAAATCTGGTCGGTGACACCATGGCGACACCACTTGCTACGTTCTTTTGTATACTCTGCCATACTTCTTTCGCCAAGTGTCTTCACAAATTACAATCCGACGGTATAGAGGCACATCACAATGAAATGATGGTTGTGACACGCAGAAGTCTTACCCAGAAGACCCTAATAATGCTGTCGGGCAGCTATGCAGTATGAAGATTCCTAGGGCAAAGCGACATGCTAAGAAACAAAATCAACCAAACACAGACGTAGAACACCTGAAAATCATCCGGAATATTCCCTTCAAAATCGGAATAAAACTGTGTACGCATAGATCAAATAGAAAAATAATACGTTTCCTGTAGATAATCCATGGGTAAGCAGCCAATTCATGACTGAATCTTGAGTTCCCCGAAACACGATATTGACAGTGTTAAAAACCAAATAACAGATGATAAGTACTGCTTCAGAAAAAGATGGGAATGTATGTGAATGAGAATACCAATGTACAAAGTAAAGTTTAATTGTAACGGTGAGCCCACTATTCATTAAAGTCTCTGATCCACTGTAGTGCAGCTTCAACTTCATGCTTGACGAGAACCTACATCGTGTCGTCTACAGACTTTCACTATGGAGAATGACGTATACCTGGCACTATTTTTGCGGTAAGGTACCAGATCAAATTACCTTCGCTAGAAATTTCAGATCTTCATCCAGGTTACTGGTTCTGCCTCATTTCACACATAGACAGGGGTTATATAGGGGAAGTTTTCTCAAGGCTGTATAAGGCACTTGTTATCTCACCCAGAAGGCTTATGAAACACCACTCTACTGTAGCCTAAACGAAACATCGACTTCTTAGAATCAGCAGGTAAATAATCATACTGCGAAATACGGACTGAGGTATAATCCTTTCACAGTCTTCAAATTTACTCGAGTCACTGATATCTCTAGAGGCTGGCGGTATTGACGTTTGCGGATTGTACAAAGTATACTAACGCAAGATCTAATACCATCAACTTCTTTAGTATTCTTTCCGCGGAGGCCAAAGGCTAAGCAAAAGGCAGTATTGGGTCGTCCAAACTACGAGATATATTTCGGGACCAAATCGTGGACTGAGGTGAATGCTTAGCTGGCTAGTGGTCGTGCACGAACGTGGCAAGACGGAATACCAAATGGAACGGATGCTTGACCGGAAGCCCTCAGCTAAACAAGTCGACTTAAACAGTGAGGGTCACCATCCAATGTTCAGTGATGAGTGCTGTGGTCAATAATTTCGGGGAGTTATTTACCGCTACGTATCCCTACCCATTACTGCTTTGCCTACACCCACGTATATACACTTATTTTGCATTCTGTGAAACTATTGAGAATTTCTTTATTGATGCTTCAAATATTTTATTACCTTTATTAACTGGACAGCTATAGGAGCTATTTATAAATATGGCAGCTGTGTGATCTGAGCAGGTATGACATAGCTTCCAAAATCAGCTGTCTTCCCTTTCTTCAAATCCATAAGAATTACAGTGGGTGATTGATGGAAATGACAACGTAGAATGATGAACCACCCAAATTTTTTGACAAAGCTGACATTAGAAGTCTATCTAGTTTATTTTAAACTGTGAAGAAAAAAATTAGATATTAGACATTCAATGACGTGTTTAAAGGTTGAAGCTATCACTATTGGCGATTTTTAGCGGATTTTTAAAATTGTACGCTTACTAGGAAATCTTGGTGGTTTCTGAGACTTGGAGTACGAACTTAGCTGATATCATCCATCCGACACAACCAAATTTCAATATGGCATGTTATGAGAATTCTTTTACGATGGACATTGGTCTTCTGGCAGAACTCTCCAGAGAACTAAAAGATAGAATTTGTGCTGACACCTTTCGAAAGCTCCAGGTACAGATTACAGAGATTATGTTCATTGAAAATTATAGAAGAAAACGGACAGAGAATTATTTCATGTGAACAGTGAAGTGGACAGAGTTCTGAGGAATGAATCATATATAAAGTCAAGACTCTATCCGTTGATAGACGTTCTTCAAGAAAACCACAAGAGAAGTATGAAAATAAAAAGCATTCTGTGGAATCAAAAAGAATTTTTACCTGCCAGTCGGAAAATGAACAAGTACTTGGATAAATGTCGACTGAATAAGTCAGTTGGATTGAAACATGTCAATGAGAAATGTTTACCGAGCAAAAGTGAAACAGTAATTTTCAATAAAGATTAGTATTATCATAACATTAGGCTGGACACCCTGAGAAACGATTCAGTGCTTCTTTTGGATGCAACTACATTCACAGTGATACCAATAAGGTAATGTAAGCAGACGTCTTTCTGCAAAGTATAATTATTTTGCCTTTTTTCATCGGTAAATAATTAATTTTGTGCTATTTGTTTTAGGACGCTTTTATTTCAGTGTTTTTTTTTTTGTTGAATTTAATATTTCTGCGTAAAAATGGAAGATCCATTTTATGCATGATTTGTTCGTGGAGAATCTAAGTAAATACCTGCACACTACGGTCTGTCTAAAATTTAGTGGAATTTTTACCTCATTAAGAATCTACCAGTTGAAAACTATGGAGCACAAGTACCCAACTTATGTATTCTGACAATGATGGTCTTGCTTACCTACTGCAGACGATGGTCCATTTGCAGTATTAGGTATAATTTGTTTGATTGAGAAAAGTTTCATTTTGATATTTACGAAATAACACAGAAGAAGGGTACATAGCCTTATCTTCATAGAATCTCCCAGTATATGAATTTCAATATATCATACTGACACTAGAATTGAAACAAAATTTCAGAAAGCAAAAATTTCGGTACTCAATTAATGATGCTTTGATATGTTGAGGTGTAAGCAGTAATTTCTATCGATCGGAGTAATTCCTTTTTTAGAACGCTTTCATAATTCTTTGACGTTTCTGTTTCTTTATACGAGCATCCGATACCGATCTTAATGGTTTATATGACCATATGACTCTGTACCTAATCTGACTGAGTTTAAACATCAAATTTTGATGGAAAGAAATACCTCTGAATAGTAAAATGAATGTGTACTCATTAAATATTGAAACAGTGAAGTTATCTTTCCTCTGACCCTAACCATGTTTTGGTGCAAATTCCTGAGAACAAAATTCAACTGTTACTAGAACAAATACATTTGAAAATCTTAGGTGTTACTTATTAATTAACTATTTAAAGTTCCTTAAAACATGAAATCAAGCAGGTCCAGTGACTTACCGATTAACAAATTGGTGCAGTAGTCACTCTTCAAAAATTCACACAAGACGCATGAACATAAACAAACTGGTAGCACGATAGACATTCAGGATTTTTATAATATACAGGATAACATGGAATGAATTCACCAGAGCCCCTGTCATCAGCTTTTGGTCTTGTTGCCGTGGTTCTTCAGCTACTGATTTTAGGAAAGTTAGAGACTCGAGCTAAACTATACACATTACTGTACAAGGCTTGGATTAACTCCACACTACATCGCTCATCAAGGAAGGCGGTGGCTTAGTATATTTAATGCATTTCTCAGTCATTAAAGTTGACGAAGAAATGGTTTGCCTTTCCTATTTTAATCCCAGGACTTACTTTTCAAACTAGTTGCTATATTTTCTGACGAGAAACGGACAACTGGTCAAATAAACATGTGGTCAAAATAGTTATTATCTTTCTGCATGTACATTCAGTGGCTTTACCTTACAGTCTCAAAGGAAGACAATGCAGATCTTTGAAAAGTACATACTTTCCCTGATTGGTAGCTAGATGTTATTCCTGCTACCGGACATCGAATGTAGCCTGAGTACAAAGCGGTGGGATGGCTATCCGAGAGTAGCATGGAGGAGATCATTTGCAGGAAATGGAAGCTTTGGAACAATCATGGCTCTTTCCGTTCTGTATCATTAATTCACTGAAGTTTATTTACCATCGCATATCGCCCAATATATTTATCTTAATATATATATATATATATCACTATATGCAGGGCATTCAGCAGAAGACTTATGCAAAACTCTGTGAATCGATTGAATCTTGTTTTATTAGCATTTGTTGTTCGTCTTAAATTTGCATCGATAAATGAGTGTTTTAAAGCACCAGTATGTCAGTCATAAAATATTGTCGAATTCTCCCCGCTGGCAGCTGACATGTCAACAGAAACTAATCGTTTAGTTTCAACTTAGTCAGTCAGTGGGCATTTCAAAGTGATTTCAACAGTACTTTCTGTTCACTTAAAGATTTCAGTCAAATTCATTTTTTATTTCTTCAGTAGATACATTATAACTTTCATTTATCAACAAATTTTCATTCTAATTGATTGAAAATGCTCATTAAAATTTTTCTAAAGAACGAATACTGAACAAAAAGTAATTTTTTCGATAACCTCAGTTATATATGAAACCAGTGCTCTGTGTGCGAAAGAAACAAGTCCAGCCCCTACTACTGCTCTCGCCTTCAGTAGAGACTTTAAATTCATGAATTTGTAATATTATATTTCCTAACGTTTCTGACATTCAGCTTATTTTATGTTGATGCTATTGAGCTGTAATCTACTGATATTATTGATTCGATGTTCATAGCACTAATTCATTTATTCACTATAATGTGTACATATAACTGTAGAGCCTGACGATGAAGTTAACGAAAGGAGTATTCTTTGTTCAGTATCCATTCTTTTGAAAAACTTTCATTCCTTTTTTCAAATGGCCTTTGATTTTTCGCACATAAATAAAGATCTAGTGCATTTTCTGTTTGTTGCTGAGTGGAAATCAATAACTGGTTTTACCAATGCTGAACAATCTCTCATATTTTATTCAAAATAACAAAAGTAAGGTCAGATGACCCACATGTGTGATCATGTTTTAATGATAAATATAACTCCTTGAAAGTCGGATCAATAACTTTATGAGCATCAGTAACAATGTTTACTAATTATTTCACATTCTTCATACCCTATCATATGGCATGTGCTTAATTATTATAAATACGCTTACTGAAAACTGGCTTTTGGATGTAATGTGACACCATTTTTTAAATGTAGAGAGAATTAGTATGTGATAAAATCTTCACGCCTCAAAATCAGTCATAGTATGACTAAGTAAAAATAGCTTTTTGATACAGTTATTTTCCTTGATAAACCTGAACAAGGCAAGAAGAACATATGGTGCAGGATATACTGACTCCATAAAATTTCGTTGGTTCGTTTCAGTTGCAGGCAGTATTTGAATATTTGTACATCGATATAAAATTGTCCAAGGTTGTAGGCAGTCGAAAAGAATCATCAAAATGTAATTACGTCAGTATTTAGTGCACTGCTTCTTCTTCTCGCTTTGTTCAGAATTCTTTCTTGCTAGGTGGCTAGACATAACCAATAGAGGCGTTGAAATTGACTAATATACAAAGTTGTAGTTTATATAAGCTCAGCTTTACTGTTTAGTACGTGAATAGTAACTTTTGTTCATTATTCTCCCGCTTGATTGCAGGGTAATTTATTTTATATTCACTAGCCACTTCACACCTATTAGTGAGTTCTTTTTTTCAAGGTTTGTCTAATCGTCGGCTTAAGGTTTTAAGAAGTATACGAGAAGATAATAAGAAATCCTTCTGTCTATCTGAACATTTAGTCGTTCATTAGTGACTGCCAACTTCGTTTTATGAACTTTTTCAAGTTACTCATTTGATGCATACACGCCCTTGTCAATGTAACTTTTAGTTGGAAGAAACAAGTAGAGATTTCATTTTTATCTCGACAAAAGACAGAGATATTAAGAGAACAGTGAGAATTTACAAGTAATCGAGTGTAGACATTTTTCGTGCTGACATGCGTATAGATTCAACATGCTAGGTAACAGATTGATCAGACGATTTTCTGGATATGTTCTGCTCATAAAAAATCACTGCTCCAGGAAAGCAGTACCAATAAAAGTGGAATTAGGTTATGGAAGGCATTAAAAATTGGCAAATGAAAACATAGTACCAGTTAATGAAGTGATTTGGGGTTATGCATCACTCTGGCTGACTGTCTATATCGCTTCAATAAAATGCTACCTGCTATCTTCGGTTTTCAATGTTTCAGAGCTATCCTATAAATACAATGATACAATCAGCTCCCCCCAGGATGACTTCTGATAAACTTTTAACGGCGAAACTTATAACTGATCGAAATTTTAATACCTTGAGAAGTTTTAATTCCAATATGAGTGAAATGTTTTTAAGTGAGAACAGGCAGTCTAATTACGAACGTGTTATCGAAAAAGCCAGAGTACATGAACATTTCACAACACAATGGCGTCCAGAACCTGATCCTTTGAGTTGGAAGAAAATACAGTTTACAAATATAGACAGTGAAGTCAGAAGCAGAAGTAGGTAAGTTGCTGTCAGAAATCAGAAATGTCTAATTGTTAATAAATCTACAATTATCATGGAGAAATCCCCCTGTTTTGATCACACTATAATCGCCAACTTCATAACTTTGAAAAGTACTTTTTGTGACTTCCTGAATTTTTAAGATATTTATTGTAGAACTCTCAACTTCATTAACATGTCTCTCAGTATCAATATGATACTGATATCTCTAAATGGTCGTTTATTGCATCAGCTGTATATCCATACGACCTGATTAAAATCTGTAGGTTAGTTGTACAATGTCTTTCCAAGGCCAAATCACGTGATACTATCGTTTAAGAAACAGTCACTAGTGTGATAGGGAATCTTAAATTCATTACTGATTACCAACTAAATTTCACAAGAAGTCGGAGTTCATTTATAAGTTCAAATTTTTTCAACACTTCAATTGTGAAATATTTAGATGACAAATAATACTTAGAATTTTTCATACTAGATATTTCCTTGTTTCTCGTTTTTCACCATGGTTACCTGAACGTTTCATCACTAAGCAGGGCAAGTTTTTGGAAGATAAATTCCTTCCTGAGTTCATGTCCCACACTGCACAATTATTGGGTTATAGGTGTTTATCAAGTTAATGAAACGAGTAACACATCGTTGACATATTTTTAGTTTGAATTGCCGTATTGAAAAACCGATTAGTTTTCGATATAGCTGCTGAAGGACTTTGGCTTCCTTTTACATCAGCCCATATTTTTTGGTATTCTGCCACAAAAATATATTTTTTTCTATCATATAAACTTGACTGCCACTTTGTCATAGTGGTTGGACTTGTTTATATTTTAAATGATTCGTCCGACATACATTAGCTAAAGCACTTGTCCTTTCAGGTTAACTTATACTAGAAATGTACATTTACATGATAATGAGATGAACAGTTCTTAATATTTTACATCGATGAAATGATAAAGTCGCAATTTTATTCGTTCCATGGCATAACTGAAATAAAACTATTCTCTGGAATAAAAATCACATTTGATTGATGCAACTCTCTTTTCCTAAATGAAAGATTAAGTAAGGCTAGACTTTAAAAACTTTGTGTTCTAAGTGCTAGCACTGTGAGAATGAATAACTTTTGATGTTACAGTTGAATCTGCGAAATGAAAACCACTTAAAAGTGTTTCTTGTCTTTCACCTTCATATGCCTTACAATTGTAAAACTACCCAACAAGTTGATAATGCTTATGTGAGTTTATTTCTACATTAAATGCATAGATTTCATTTATTAATCAGTAAAAACTAATGTAGACGACTTAAATCTATTAATGATACCATCGACCAAATAGATAAATTTACTTGATAATTCTGAAATAATGAAGATTCACTTTACAAAGTTTGCATTTGTTTTATTTTTTAGAAATCGATTTTGTGGAGCATTTAATGCAACTTCCTTCCAATTGATTTATGCACATTGAATTAAATTTGAATAAAACACTTTATGAAACAAGTGTTTTTTCTGTTTTAAATAATAGCGTCAAAAGAATGGATACTGAACAAAGAATACTCCTTTCGTTAACTTCATCATCAGGCTCTACAGTTATATATACACATTATAGTGAATAAATGAATTAGTGCTATGAACATCGAATCAATAATATCAGTAGATTACAGCTCAATAGCATCAACATAAAATAAGCTGAATGTCAGAAACGTTAGGAAATATAATATTACAAATTCATGAATTTAAAGTCTCTACTGAAGGCGAGAGCAGTAGTAGGGGCTGGACTTGTTTCTTTCGCACACAGAGCACTGGTATTTTGAGGCGAATTACACTAGCTTCTGCTATTTGGAGCATGCGGTACTTCGATGTTTTTGGCAATTTATTACGCACCCGGTAGATTATAGAGAAGGATTCATCAACGCTGGCTTTGTGGCCGGTTTGTACAAGATGGTTCAATATTGAACTATTAATGGTTTTCACTACACCTTTACTTAGCCATAGTGGGAGATGTTCCCGAGCACCAAAATCAAGTTCCTAGAGCAACGGCCAATATTATTTGCTCCACAAGCGCAGTTAAATTAGTGGATACAATTTGAAGTGGCTAGTCTAGGTACTTCACCTTTCAGTCGAGGAGTCACCATCGGTCGTATAGAGAATAAGATGTTTAGTTCGCCAGCATTAAAAGTTCTTTGAACTGATTTTCTTAATTTCTTCGTAATTATTTCACTTGGTATATCGCCCTTGAAATCCAGTCATATATACATAAAGGCTTCTTGTTTACTGATAGTGAGTAGTCCTTTTCCGTTTTCTTTGTCATGTGTTTCTTGATAGATTTGTCGGGATAGCTATTTTCGATCAAAGTGTCATATACAATGCTTAATTCATCTTCAATTACTTCTTCCGAGCATATAGCTCTAACTCTGTGGCTGAGGGTCTTCACTAAATTTCTTTTGTACTTGAGAGGAACGATGCTGTGAAAATGTATGTAGCGTCCTGTCCAAGTACTTTTTCTATGCGAATTTCTTTTTATGCTACCATCTGGTTTTCTTGTGAGGAGGACATCCAGGAAGCCAATTCTGTTTTGGGATTCTTCTTTGCACATGAATTTCATAGCCGAATGTACTTCATTGAAGTCAGTAATTATTGTACTTCTATCCAAATCATTATCACAAAGGATGAAGGTGTCATCCATATACTGGCAATCAAATGAAAACTTTCTGGTAAGGTTGTTCAAAGGTCCATTTTCCAGTTTACTAAGAAAGAAATCATCCAAAATGAGACCCAATGGGGAGCCCATCGCCACCCCGTCCACTTGCCTGCAAAGCGTGCCGTCAAATTTGAAATTTACATTCATGGTACACCTTAGTAACAATTCTTTTAGGATTTCAGTACGGATGCCGATGTTTATCGACTGGTTATCCACTTGTTCACATATGTAGTTAACTGTTTCTACTAGAGGCACATTTGTGAATAAAGATGTTATGTCCAGAGATATCATGATTTTGTTCTTGATATTAATATCTTTGATTTTGTCTACGAATTCAAATACATCTTTGACGCTATATTTCACTATCTTCTCATGCAAAAGTTTGAGAATATTTACTGGCTAGAGCATGGTAGGCGAATTTTGCATATCAAGTATTGGTCTTAATGGTACCCCTGGTTTATGCACTTTAGGTAGGCCATACAGTCTTGGCGTATACGTGCCCGTTGGTCTGATTTCTTCATATAAACGTTCAGAAAATATCTGCTCCTCCCTGAGTTTCTTCAAAATTTCTGGTTAATTCATTCTCTATTTTGTTATTGAAATCTTTCTTCTCCCCAAGTTTTTGAAACTTCTGTGTATCCTTCAATATATCATTCATCTTTTTAATATAGTCACCTCCATCAAGGAGGACTACTCCTGATCCCTTATCAGGCTTTGTGATTATCAGTCTCTCATCATTTATCAGTTTCTTTAGTTCTTCTCTGTGTTCCTTTGTCAAGAAACTTTTACTGTCGCATTTGAGGTTTTTATACTGAAAACAACAATCCACTAGAATGGATTTGAAGCGTTCTAGTTCCAAGGTGGATGATGAAACTAGATCCCTTCTTTGACCAAATAGGCTTTCAAATTCAATATTAGTATCTAGGTGATTAACTAGTTTCGGTCTATGACAAAATCTAAGGCCAAGGGAAAGTACTTCAAGTTGCACCTTATTTAATTCAACACTACTATAATTGTAGACGTACTTTTTAGGATCTGCTAGAAATTTACCAGCCTCTGGCTTCCTTTCAAGTCCTTCCATAAGCTCTATCTCCTTCTTCTGTGCTCTTCTTTCACTAACTTGAGAAACTTATTCCATAAAAGGCGTTCTAAGATCTTCTGGCAGTTCATCTACCACATATTGCCTGCGAGTGATATTCATTTCATTCTCTTGTATGTATGTAGATAAAGAGTCTGTTTGGTTTAATGCATATGGTTTCAGCAGTGCATATCGTCAAAGCAAACAAGTCATAAGGTATAGTTGTGATTACTCAAACCATATAAATAAATTGAGAAACAGATTATAAAATATTTGTGAGGAGAAACAACAGAAACATCTGCAATATTTTGCAAGTTATGAATTTGCTCGTGGTACAGGTTTGAAAGCTTCAACTCAAGGGGTGACAAATTTACCAGAACATATACAACCTGCATATCAAAGCTATTAATTATAATAAGTGTAACCTAGAAATTAATTGTATGTATGTGTCTTCTGAGTGTACTTTATTTCAAATGTCTAATCAGTTTTACTCGTGTATATAAATGAAGTAAAAAGTTGTGTGAATGACTTGATATGGTTATAAGCAATAATTTGTGCTCGAAACGTCATTAGTTAATATTACTGTATAACACTGTGTGATTTATCAAAATAAAATCTTGCCTATAATTGAGTGCCCCAGTTTTATAATTAGATCAAAAATGTGAATCTTCTTCCTTATACTCAGTGTAGAAGATTTCCAAACTAGTTTCAGGTTAATGAAGGAGTATTTGCCTTTCCGATTCTGGCTTTGACATCTTCATCCATTCTGCCTGTAGCTTAAACGATGCTTTCTAGATGAGAGAAGGATCTAACCTCTGTTAAATCTCTCCCGTTGATGGTGGATGATTTGTGCTGGTTGTTGTTGCTGTTGATTGGTCATCTTTATCACCTCCGCCTTCTCTATGTTCACGTGGAGTCCTGTCTTCGCAACCTGCTTCATCAGCCAGTCTGTTGGTTTTCGCCTGCCTCCAAATCTTCGAGTTTGTGTGACCTTAGACATATGTCACTCACTTGCGGAATCCAGAATCTTCTTATCGGCCGTCCTCGCACCCAACAGTCTGACGGATAATCCAGTCCTTCACAGTTAGGAATTTCATCGGTGAAAATAGGCAGACAGCTGGTCTTACTCCTGTATGCACTTCGAACGCTTCGCTGAGTTTCCCGTTGTGGATCACTTGGCACGTGAGACTGTCAAATAGCTGTTGAATAAGGTTGACAAAGACTTGAGGTACGCCGTAGTGTTGCAGTAGTTTCCAAATTACTTCTCGGTCAACGATGTCTGTCGAAGGCCTTTCCCAAGTCGATGAAGCTGAGGTAGAGGTTTGAATGCCATTCTACGCTTTGTTCTGTGATGATGATCCATAGAGATACAATTTGATCAGCACATGATCTTTCTTTCCTGAATCGAGCCAGCTTGTTCCAGCTGGCGGAGTTTTGAATCCAGTGCATCCTTTATTATCTCCAGGATGATGCGACTTAGTATTCTACTTAGCGTGGACAAGAGCATGACTCCACACCAGTTCTTGCACAGGCCTAAGTCGCCCTTCTTTGACAGCTTGACGAGGTAACCAGCCTTTCTTCCAATCGGTAGGTACCTTTTCTTCTTTCCAAACCTTTTGCAGTAATGGCATGAGCACATCTGCGGCGGTCTATGGGTCCGTTTTCAGTGCTTAGGCGGGAGGGGCAGGAATTCCGTCCAGTCCTGCTGCCTTTCCGAACTTCAGAAGCTTGATCGCATTTAGTATTCCGAGTTTCGTTGGAGGACTGGTGTCCACTGGCAGTTTTGTGTGCGTTGTTGGTGGCATCTCTGGGCGAGTTGTTGACGATGGTCGATTCAAGAGTACTTTGAAGTGATCAGCACATTATTTTATTTGTTTCTCCTCCTTGGTAATCGGGTTCCCTTGAATATCTTCTATTGGTTTCATCATCTGGGTTAGTCTCTTACCAGATAGAGATTTGGTTATCTGATATAACGTCCTGAGGCCTGCCTGTCCTGCTTCAGTTTGTCGTAGATTTGTCATTTGTCTTTCCTAGCACTCTTCTTCACTCCTCTCCTTATTCAGTGCAGTGTGCATTGAACTCAGCTTCTCCTTCTGTTGCCCATCTTTGTATTGAGTCATCTTCTCTTTAATCAGCCTCCTCTCCTCTCTTCTATTAGACTCCAGGTAGGTGTCCGTTGAGAGTCATTCCTTGTCTCGTCTCTTCTTTCTTCCTAGAACATTTGTACACGTTTCCTTGAACATCACCTTCAGAGAGTCCCAATGTTCTTCCACGCAGGTTTCTTCAGTGATGCCACGTAGTGTCTCCGACTTTGCTCTTATATGATCTGTATTGAACGCGTCCCTTGTAGTTTTGTTCTTCAGTTTCTGAATGTTGAACTTGAATTAAGACCTGTTTCCAGTTGTTTTTGAGAGATTCTAGCTTCATCTTGAAGGTTCCTTGGACTAGATGACGGTCTGAGCCCACATCTGCTCCGCTTCTCGGCTTTGTATCCAGCAGGCTGCGTCTCCACTTCCTTGGACAGCATTGAGATGAAATCTATCCGGTTCGTGGTGTGCCTGTTAGGCGAAAACCAAGTTGTTTTGTGTATATCCTTGTGTTTGTACACGCTGCCTCCGATCACCAAATCACTGAAAGTGCAGAAGTCTGCGAATAATTCTCCGTTTCCATTCATCACTCCGAGAGCCTCACAACGTGTATTATCAGCACCCTTTTCGACTTTCATTCGAATTGCCCATAAGAATTTTGATGTCTCCATTTGGGTGGTTTTTCCATTGGCGTTAGAAGTTGTCTATAGAAATCTTCCTTCTTTTCCTGTTCCGCATTGTTTGTAGCACTGTGAATTGTATTGGATTATTGTGACCTTCGTTCCCTCCTTCTGAGTTGAATCTTGCTGTCATGTTCCTGGATGAAATCGGTTCCCACTGCATTAGGGCTTTGGCTGTCACTGGTGACATCATTAGAGCCACTCACTGCCTCAGTGTGCTCATGGTTGTCGTCTGGGCTACCGGAGTAGATTACTGACTCTCCGGTTGACAATTGTGATAATCTGTATCCATTCCATCTGCTCTCGCAGATACCCAGAACTTCTAGGCCATATCTTCTCATTTTGTTGGCTCTTGGGTAGTCTTCCCAGCCAGCGTTGTACATTGTACGGACATTTCACTTCCCAATTCTTATTCTTGCTTTCATCGAAAGAAGACACATCGGCTGACTGGCTTCCTGGAGGCTATCTACAGCCCACTGGGTCATGTCGCCTCTCCGATTGAAGCGAAAAATAAGGTTGTTGTTGTTATTTGAAGATTTTGCATTTTTAATTTATTTGGATAGTATTATTAGAAGGAGATTATCTGAAAAATGTGATGTATTTGCACTATACTTTTGGAACAATCTGATCACATATTTACTTGTCGAGTCGATATATATGAAAAAATTAAGGGCAATTCAATTAAACAAAGTGAGAAAAAAGGATTTAAGAATGATTAACACAACGTTTGGTAATCCAATCAAATAAGTATTACCAAGGTAGGTTGAGGGTAATAATAAACTGTTTTTGAATACACAGGGGGGGGGAGCTTAAGTTTATGAATAGCTTTAGCCTCAGCGTATTTTAATGAGCGCCCTTGACCATTTTTATAGATGACCTTAAAGGCTGAGTTAACACCAATCTTATGGTTCATCTTGATTAGATGTTTAGCTATAGACGAAGTTGGTAGTCTGACACCTTCGTCTATTGGTTTTCCAATTCACTTGTTTTTCTAACCATTTCGGGATATGCTCTCCCACTCTAACATACAAAGCACGACACTCCCCCCTATGTATGTGTGTCCACACACACAAAAAAAGGTAAGTAGTGTTGGATGTGACATAATCACTTGTGCACCTCTGAGGTTTGCAGTGGAGCATATTTTTGGCTTTTTCAATAATTACAAGCTGGGCTGCATAATAGGTTCTACGGATGACCAAATTCAACCTTTGTCTCGGAATCCTACTGTTTATTTCCCCGTTATATGGTAATTTGATGAATTTAATAAATTTTCAGTGCGTTAAGTTCCTCTACCGGTATGATAGGTTTAGTGGTGTGTAGTTGCTAGCCCCACGCCCAACCCTCCCTCTTTACGCAGGCTTGGGATCGGCTAGAAAACTAGTGAGCTAGTTAACTAGGCGACATTGTTCTCGAAACATGATCATCAGTTAATATTATTGTACAACACTGTGAGACTTTATCAAAATAAATTGTATCCACAAGTGAGAAGGAAATCTGTTTAAATATTACTTTTTATGACGTGAAAACTATCTATCCACACATAAAAGTAAGGTCACACGGTTCAGCAAAGAGACGTTTCAGAGAATTCGATCAATTAGCTGTACAATGGTGAAAATGTATCCAAATAATCTCGTCAATATGTGTGCATTCAGTCTGTCAAACATTGCATAAAATAAAATTAGTCTAGAATTTTGCTTACATCAGTAAGATATTTTATGACAGTGAAGACGAATCCAAAAAGTCTACAAAAGTTTAAAAAAACCATTCATATTCCTGTCTAGTTATAGACTATAGCTAACTTCCTAAATATGTGATGTACCTCCATTTTTAGAAACAAGAGATAATGCGTTTCTGTAATTTATATTGAATGGTAAGGTCGAAGTAAACTTTGCATTCTCAGAAAAAATGTACAAATTTGGAAGAAAAGTACAAATTTTGTAAACATGATATGATGGTCACAATATTAATTAAAATCATTAAAATGTTTTTAGGAAAAATATAAAAGTTGTTATATGTATCAGTAGAAACTTTAATTCAGAAGACTATAAAGAAGTCAGATGAGCCGATTAAGTTCGGTTGTGTATACATCTATTGATTCTTGGTCATACAGTACAAAGTATATGACTTTCAAACTTGTATTCCCGGATCTGGCATCTACATAGTTTTTCAAGGTCTGCAATATCGTTTGTGCAGCTAGTTGTTTCGGTACCCCAGCTCTATAAAATGAAAGTTGGAATCAGGTTCAAATATTTTAAGAATAAGAAAGATGTGAACAAACAATTATATTCAATAATTTCATTCTTAGGTACTACAGTTACAAATCCACAAACATTATAATACAAAAGCCAGTAAAACCAAAGTCATAATTACACTGGAAACATTAACGTATTGAATCTAATGGTACACAGTTTATTTCGAAAGTTATTTAAATGCAAGAAAAATGTATCAGCAGTGGACACATAAGGTAAAATCAATAACTGACGTATCTGTTAGTTATAATCAGTGGAAGTTTGGAAAAATTGAACTAAACAAACACATGTGATAGGTCCGGCTGACCTGTAAATCCTGCAGACTTTTAGGTCACTTTCAAAATAAATTCCTTACCATTCCACCTTCAAGTTCAGTAGTGTTACATTCTGTTCACTTTATTGTTGTTTCAGATCTAATTATAACTTTGTCTTTACTGACTATTGTATTATAATGTTTGTGGGTTTGTAATGGTAGCGTCTTAGGAAGAAATTATTAGAAATAACCAATTGCTCAAGTACGTCTTCTTTTGCACATCCAGTGAGAACTTTTTAATAACCCATATTTTCATATTTCAAGCATTTCTGCATGCAGGTGAATTCGCAAACGACAGCTTCAGGCATTTAAATGCATGCTTTTGTTAAGTACACTTTTGTGATTCTTTCTGCTGTCTAAGGCAAAGTGTTCGCGTAAGTTGGTACCATTTACCTTTCGTTAGTTTTAGACTGTGGGTGGTGACTGACAGTGGAATCCAGGCTGCAGATTTTGTTCTATATGACACCCATCATCTGGATGTGCTTACAATTCCCAATGGGAGCACCATCATTCCCTATCCACAAAATTACGACAAAGTTAGTTTACTTTTATAATAATAACAGCTTTTTGAAAATCATATCCATCATATTTAAATTTTCTATAAGTTGTTGCTGTAGTTATATTGTATTTATAAACACTACCTTTCATATTATAACTGCTGAATGAAAGTATATCATTTGGTAATAAGAACTTGTATTGCGAGCGCAAATGAGGAACCTGTTGCTGTATACTGATCTACAACTGGTTATTCAAAAACTTAAGTTGGCGTTATAAAAAATTCGACATGTATAGTTGCATGAAAATCTATCCAATTAAACCACAACATTCAGCGCATGTAACAGTATGGCATGTGATAGTGTGAAGAAACTCAATGATCTTCGAGCCTTGAAGATGTATCATTAGAGAGATTTGCCAAACTTATAGTTTGTTTTGCCCAATGAAGTGCAGATATCTACTAGGTTTAAGGTGAACATTCTTTAAAATCAGAGAAAAAACATAAAAAAGAATTAAGTAAAAGTGATTAAAACGTACAAGGTTCGAAATTAGAAGCATCAGTGAAGCTAATATTTCAGTAAAACGTTTAAAGCACTTACTTTCCACTTCCTATAGAAGGAAGAGCAACGGAGCAAAATCTTTCTGACTCGCAAAGTTTTAGACAGTTCATAACAGCCCCAGACAAGTCACTTTCAATGTAGTTCGAGTTTTGGCGCCAAGTCGGGCTGTAACAATGTAGAATCCACTGAGCACCGATGTTGAAAGCAGGTGTTTTACGCACTAAAATTGAATAAAGATTTGTGGTTACCCAGAGAATCAATAAGCTCCCAAAATACAACCATTTGAATTTGGGAGAAAAACTATCAACTTGAGTCTCTTATATGTGCTTACCTTCTAAATACGTGAGAAATCCTTCATTTTGCATACAACTTCTGACAGCACTTTCTAAAGCTGAACCTCCCTTGCTTAGCAGAGTACTTCCTAGAGCATATAAAGGTGTAACGAAGGTAACGATAAACAGCATTGAAATAATGCACAAAATAATGCAAAGAAATGGAGTGTGGATTTGCGGTATAAATCTAGTTATTTCACTTCATAAAGTGGTTAACCATCTCGAATTCACGACGACTGTCATTTGAAACTAGGAAAAACTGTCTATGAGCAAAAAAAGGGAGAACAGACAAGCTAAAACTTTTGAGAAAAAATAGATATTATTTCTAATTAATAAACTGTTTGCTTGACCCTGTTCACAACGCTAATAGACCAATTCAAAACTTTTGGAGATACAAAAGCAACGATTACATGACTTAACATCCTTTGCATTAATATAATGAAAGTACGTTATTGTTATCTCTTTTCTTTTGACGACGATACCGGAGGACTAACTTGTGAAAGGATCAACTCCATTCACGGTAGTAACAGTCTTGACACACCTCATACTACAAACCATATATAATTAATCCCCGCACTACTCTTTTGGAGTCAACCAAAGCTACGACAGTCGAGTGGCAGGACGAGCTACGCAGAAGTTTACCGAAGACCAGTAACCTTTACCTCACAATCAATAGGCGAGCACAAAGAAATCAAATTGGTTTATACTAGCTTGTAAAAACGATATTGTGTATTGGACAAGTTAAAACTGAAAAGTTTTACCTTAACTTCACTATCGTAAAAACATGTAACTAGAACTAAATTCAATGCACACTACACATTATGAAAACCAACATACCAATGATCCCATGGAAAGATATCCTAGAACTTGTTGGGTGTACAACAGCGTCTGCATGTACTTTTGTTATGTCTCCATTCAAAACTTTGATAACAGTTTTACTAATAATTTTTTCAGACATTACAACAAGTGGAACACCAAATTCATGGACCTACGAAATTAACTTGCCCAAACAACTTTCAGGACTAACCTTATGTTTTGGAGGGTCCTTAGAAAAAAAATGAAACTCTGAATCAATTACATGTGGATTACTTTTAATTTTGCAGCTTGGAGATATGCTCTATTCATTTTATCTGTTAGGGGTAAATACATCTTGGATCCCGAAAAGGGAAATATGACTGTGGTCAGCATCTAAAAGAATAAAAAATAAACTGAAAAATTTGCGACAGACAATAGCATAAAAGGCTGTTTAAAACTTCACGTAAAATAGTGAAATTGAAAGGGATTTACATTATTCATGTCGACATCATTAGCCACAGAGAGCATAAGATGTCTTGGGGTAATGATTTTCTTTTTTTCTTTAAGAGCTAAACTTCCAGATATGTCACAGATTTCTTCTAGAAATCAGTATTCACAAATATGCATAGAAACATACTTGTTAAATATTCAATCACTGCTGTTTTGAATATTGCTGCATCAACAGATAAACGTTTTCTTAGAAAAAAGCGCGAGGACTTCATCAGACGCCTCAATCTTGCGACGGGAAAGATGAGACATGAACGTTGCGACTTCGTCCTCCTCTTCATTGTGATGCTTTTCCGCGTAACGCACCCATTCAAAAGTCAGGTAGGTTATCCAATGTCATCTCTACCTGCTAGTATAAACCAATTTGATTTCTTTGTGCTCGCCTATTGATTGTGAGGTAAAGGTTACTGGTCTTCGGTAAACTTCTGCGTAGCTCGTCCTGCCACTCGACTGTCGTAGCTTTGGTTGACTCCAAAAGAGTAGTGCGGGGATTAATTATATATGGTTTGTAGTATGAGGTGTGTCAAGACTGTTACTACCGTGAATGGAGTTGATCCTTTCACAAGTTAGTCCTCCGGTATCGTCGTCTAAAGAAAAGAGAATAATAATAGATATAATTAGTGAAGTTATTCAGACTAACAGACGGAAAAAGAAATAAGAAAACGCAACAACATTCAGCTAATTAAATTTGAAGAATAATATGAATAATGTATATATGTACCGGTAATAATGATAATAACAATAATCAATGACAGAACACCTTTATTTGGGTGGTTCCAGTCATTTGTTATTTTGTAGGCAGTAATTAAATCCCCCTAAGACGACTAGGTAAGTGAATAGTGTGAATAGGCCTAATTTCTTTAGCCTTTCATCATATGGTTTATTGCGGAGACCAACTACTCCTTTTGTTTCCCGTCGTTGGACTCCTTCCAAGAGGTTGGCGTCCTTTCTAAACAGTGTGGGTGCAATAATATTATGCCCTTCAAGGTGTGGTCTGACGTATGTTTTGTACAACCTTAGAAGGAGCTCAGGAGTGAGTGCACCTAACTGTCTGTATGTGAAGTGTATGACCACATATTCTCTCGCCACGTCCCTCGTGTAATTTGCGCTTGTGTCCCTTTTTTTCGTTGGAACTAGACCTAAGTCGCACTCCGACTTTGTGCAGGACAAGCTTTCGTTGCACAGGGTGTAACTTGCATTCTACAGGTGCGTAGTTCACTACTTTGCAATTTTTCAGGTGAAAAGTCATGCCACTGGCCACCACCCAGTCTTCCTAAAGCTTTAGATCTGCCTGCAGCCTATCTGACTCCTCCGGACACTTTATCGCCCTCCATATCTTTACGTCGTCAGCGTATAGAAGAGTCGGGCAGATTAGATGGCAGTGATAAAAATCAAAATATCAGCAGTCCTAGGATAGAACCCTGCGACACTCCTGATGACGAGCCGTGCCAAGATGACCGGACTCGATTGACCTTAGTGCAAAATTGCCCTTCAGCTAGGTAGTCCTTCAACCATGAGAGAAGTTGCTAACCTATACCTGCCTGACTTATTTTGTGTATGGTTAGGTCATGGTGAACGGCGTCAAATGTCTTCTCAAAATGTAGGAAGACCACATGGACTGGAACATTCATATCCTAGCATGGTGTCCAATCGTTCCAAGCTGACAGTAGGTTTTGTACACGGGATCTGCTTTCCCTGAAACCGTGTTGGGCTTCATGGAGTATGTTAGTCCTGTCAAGGTGTTCCCTGACGTGATCGTCAATTATAATTTCCAGTACGTTGATACCATTGGGAGTGGCGCTATTGGTCTATAACTGGTGGCATTTCGTCTACCTTCACCATTCAAAATAGTGGAAAGGATGGCTGTTTTCCACTCCCTTGGCAGTTTCCCCGAATCCATGGATTGTTGGAACAAGTATAAGGGCCTACAGATAGCTTCGGCACACTGTTTCAGAACAGATGGCCTGATGTCGTCACAACCTGGGGACTTCCCGGGTGTGAGGCACTGTAGCTTCCCTAGTACTATTGCTAGGTTTATTTGGGGTGTAGCCACTAGGTCTTCCTCCTGTGAAATAGTAGTGCCACCATTTTGCTCCATATCAGTAGTACACACGTTGCCGTTTAACCGTTTGGCGAATGCTAAACTGAATGTTTCCGCCATCCCCATACTAGTGATTTATTGAGCGTTTGGGCCTACTAAAGCGCATGCCCCCTGATTGGTTGGTTTTCTTTCCAACATGAATCGGTACAAATTTTTTCGGTTTGCTAGGAGTTTTTTGGCAAGGTTAGCCTGGAATGACCTCCTGTCACTCCTGAATGTCGCGTTGCACCGGCTCCTGAGTTCCAGGTATGCGTCGTGGTTGATGTGACTGTTAGATACGCGCTACGTAAACCAAGCTTTCCGCTTTGCTTGCAGATGACTTTCTTTGGGGCTGTGTTGTGACTGAAGGGATTCTATCCGAGATTGCTATATGAATAATCTCTTTTACCACTTCCCAGTGTTCATCCACAGATAACTCATCCCATGCTAAGGGCCATTCTGCGTCGGACAGAAACCTCCGCATTTCAGCACAGTCCGCCTTTTTATACCATAGACATGGTCTCGTAACGTCCCAATGCAAGTGCCCACGGAGAATAAGGCAGAATCCTATGACTCCATGGTCACTACTCCCTAGAAAAGTCATGATCTGGACCTTTCCAACGAGTAGTTAGTCACTAGTTAGAATGTAATTTAGTTTCGATTACTTTCCACTAGGGCCCCACGCAGTGTCGTCCTCAACATTCTCAGCCATACCTGTATTTCGAATGGTTCGACCGAATTTTCCCTTAACATACCCCGAGCCAAGGTTCAGTGATCGGGCATTCAAATCTCCAGCTGTGGCGATTTGGTAAATCTAAATTTTAGAGAGATGAACAAAAATTTAGCGACTTATCTTGGAACCAGTACTTAGACCAAGTTACAGATATACCGGTTAACCGATATAACTAAATGATTGCATAAAAATTCTCTAAGTGATTTGTAGCCACAATAAAACGTTTGAATAGAAGTGAAATATTGAACACATTACCGTGTTAAACCTGCAGTCCTTGTTTTCAACGGGTACTGGTATTATTCTCAGAGGTTATTAAAGGTTATTTTGGAGGTAGGTTTAGGAAACTACCACCAGCCCCTGTTGCCGTCGGTACATACCTGTAACTTGCGTTTATGCTGTCTTCCGTGAGGACTTGAAGACCTAATTTCTTCTCATCTCGAAGGTACAGCAAATGAACAGTATTTGTATTACTTGAGAGTTATTTAGAATGTTCTTGGCACATACGACCAACAACGGAACAAATTCCATTCTGAATTCTGTTTATCATCGCAAAGTTGGTCCCTTGTATTTGTTAATACCAAAATAAAGCTGTACTTACCCTCTAATGTAGATTTTTATAAATTTTTGAACTCTTATTAATTGATAAAGCGGTAATGATCACAAGGCCTGTATCCTGTATGTCTTACTCTAGCACCTGTGTACCACCTCTCTTCTTGGCTTGCATTAACGCAACATTTCGTAATTCCCGCATGAATTTGACTAACTATAAGTATATTATTGATTATAATTCAGACTTCAACCAATATATTGTAATCTATTCTAATAAAGTTTCTAGGGTTTTTTATCTTTACAATTTTTTACGTCATAAAACAGTGTTTGATTTCAAATTGCACTTGTCAAATATGATCATGCTCGTACAAACGGTATGTCAATCATGTAAATACTTAATTTAGGTGAAATATATATTATATTGTGCGTCGGTGGTATAGCGGTTAGGACGCTCGCTGATCATGCACATGGTCCGGGGTTCGATCCCCGACCGACGCACTCCTTCACCTCGCTAAGCCAGAAATAATGCTGGTAAAGAGGAAAGGTTGGGCATGAGGCTAGCAACCCCATCCTGTAAAATAAGCACTGCTAAAGAAACTTCAAGCCATTAGCTTGAAGCCCTATGTTCCACTGGTGAACGTGAAGGAAATAAAAAGATATATTATGTTATTATTGTTAATTTAGATAATTATGCCATTATTAATTCAATCCATATTGGTCTTTTATTGACTAAAGTTGCTTCGGTTATAAGATACCGGTGTTCGTCTAGTGTTAGTTATGTCATTGTAGACAAGTCATCGGTAGAGACCATCTGCATTAACGCAAGCATGGAATTCATGGGCTATGAAAAATTGGCGGATAACATTTATCCAAATAGTCTTACAAAGTTCACAGAATCGGTCCCCTCCTCTACAGTAACCACGAGTTTATCAAGCCACTGTCCATCGGATATATGATATTGCTTTTAGAATGAACGCCTGTGGGACGTGGTTATTCAATCTCCTTATCTAATTACTGGTAAGTAAAAGGAATTTTGAACTTGAATCCGTGACATTATGTTTATTGGAGTCAGTTTTAGGGCATAGAAACCCTATTTCCTCACTCCCAAGACAACGCTCTGCCACAAGCAAAACAAAACCTGCCAAAATCAAGGTTGTGGAATATTTCGGTAATACGATGAGTGTCAGGCATAAATTTCTGTCGTCTGCAGTTTTCGCAATCAGTTTGTGAACTGAGGAGTTCATGGACCGTATTGTAGGCTTATTAGAAGCAATACACACTTTTACTTCTTGTTATAGCATCAATTTATTCACAGGAATTATGGATTCATACGATTAGCGTGCCGCTTTTATAGGCATGGTCATATCTTACATTATTATATAGTAAATTCATTTATCATAGTTCACGCTTGTTTTGAGATGTGAAGCACATTATTGGTATGCCAAATATCGCAAAAACGAGCTAAGATAACGTTTGGTAGTTCTGGGACTGTTTCTATTATTAGACCACACCGCACTGCTCACCTCACACCAGTTCCCTAACCACGGTTGTTGGCTTTAAAATTTGGCTCTCCGAGGCACCAAAATAGGGGTAGTGAGGGCGTTGGATACGATGGCAGCCGGCCCTGAAACTCAAAAGCAACAAAGATAGGAACCGCTTGTCCTGACAAATAGATCACGCTATAGATATAGAACAAGAGGGAGGGGGAAATTAACGTCGATTCTAGGGAAAACAGCAACAAGTCGTTTCCATCGGGGTTGGCCGGTTATCGCAAACATGAACTTCTCACTTAGTATCGTTACTCCAGCCCAACCACCCGTATCACAGTATGGTGTTGCGAGTCGCCATCAAAT